AAGATAGTTGAGGGTCTACATCTAGAAAAACCCCATATTGTAGTAGCAGATCTTGACAGAGAGAACATTTTCATCCACAAAGAAACAAGAAAACCTTCTTCAACAGGTCTACAAAGTTTTGAAAATATACTGCTTCCAGTTGCTGAGGAACTTAAAAAACAACTCACATCATATCCACTGACTTTCATTTTTCTACCTCTTAAATACTGTGGTTATGCCTATAGGCTGTTTTCACATGTGTTAGGAAATGCAAGTTACTATCCTTTAAGTGCCTCAAAAGTGCCAGAAAACTGTTTGTTTGGACAATACCATGCCCCACAGACAACAGAAATGAAAGATCAACTTCTCAGCCAATTAACAGGGAATGCCACAGATCAGACAACAAGAGTAGTATTCGCCACCATTGCTTTGGGGATAGGAGTTAATATCCCAAATGTGAGACAAGTAATACATATTGGTGCACCCAGAAATCTGGAGGCATATTTTAAAGAAGTTGGTAGGGCAGGTAGAGACGGCAAACCTGCCAAGGCTATGTTGTACTACAATGGAAATGACATTGCCAGAAATAAGCCTGGAATGACAGATTAGCCCCATGTAAGAGAATCCAGAGAACTAGAGGATTCCGGATTCCAAGCGCTGGATTCCGGATTCCAAAACATGGGATTCCGGATTCCAAACCTTGGGATTCCGGATTCCAAAACAATTTTTGTTTGGGATTCCGGATAATAAATGGCGTGATTTTCAGTGTTTTTTTTTTCCTGAAAATTTCATATTCAGCGTGTCAGTAGCCTGCGCAGGCCGCCGGCAACGCAGGCCAGCGCGTCACTAATTTGCACTGTCTCCAATATTTGTCGCACGCTGACAATGACAAACTACGTATATGAAGTACAGTAAAGTGCAGCATATATACATGCTATACGAACAACTGGATGTACGTTTCCATCTCTAGACAGCTAAATTTACACCGATAAAAGTCGAATCTTTCTAAGTATCCATTTCCAATAATTTCTGATTGTGTCTTTAAAGGACTAGCTAATTTTTGTAGTTATGTTTGTCTCGCTCAATATTCCTAGCCAATAAGGACAGCTCTCTCTTTTACAGTTGTATCTATAGTTAACACTAAATCTTCTTTCCTGTGTTTCGTGTGAATATACAAAAGAGGACTGCGCCTTTGTCCGCTGCAGACGCATCTTGAGTTAAACAGTCGTCGACGACGTTATGGGTGTGGTCACGGTCAACGCATAAGGCAATGCACCAACTTTTGTTTTGGAGCGGACGTTCTCCTGTCGTGTGCCTCTACCATATTCGGCTTTTTTAAGCTCTTTCAGTACTTCCTCCTCTCCTCTTTAGTTAGCCTATGGGACGCCTTCGGTTCTCTTTTCCTTTCGGAGTTCCACCCTACAAATGACTTTTTCTGGATAATGGGAGTTTGGCCCAGTGAAGTACGAGAAGTGCTTTTGTTGAATGCGAAGCATTGTCTTCCACGCAACGCGATCTTCTGTAGCCATATTGAGCGACAGTCGGCATGTCATGATCAGCTCTCATGCCTTTTAAGAAACTTTCCAAAGATAAAGTGGTCATACTCTCAAATACCACATTATCAAGCAAGAAGTAGCACTTGATTTCTCGAAACAATTTAGGCAAACGCGTAAATGATTCAAGTGCCCTTGTTACAGTTATCGATGCAAAATATAATTTGTTTAAACAGTTATTATTCTTAACAAACAGTTTCATAAGGTTAAAAAGATTTTGTTAATATTGAGGTCAATAAGTAATGTTTAAAGTCCGATAATGAGGACTGGACGGAATTTCAAGTCCGAATTGGAGGACTTTGAACGACTTCTCATACTCATTAATTATTCGCGAGGGGTAAAAACAGAAATATATTGATTTATTGCATCTCCACTAAGGTTTTCAGTTTTCATTGATAATTTTGGATACATGAAGCACCGTTTGTTGTTCTTCAATTCCCTGACGGCTTTCTGAAACAGAAGATATTCAAGTTGTCGTTGTCTGCTATTCATGGCATTCCTAATGAGCCTAATCCATAAGATTTATAAGTATGTTATCTGCGAGGAATCGCATCAGAAACTCGTTGCATATAGACTGGACGGTAGGGGATCGAGTCGTGAGGGAGTCATGTATCAAAGAACTTTTTTCACTAAATTAATGTTAAACTGATTATTTCTAATAATTTGATTATCATTAGCTAGTAGTAGTTGGAAACATGATAG